ATTTAAAGTGTTTTGCCCTAAATAAAATCAAAAATATGGGGTAAATGTCATGAAGGGCAGGTTCATCTCACCTGTCATAAACCAGGAAGTCATCTTTGTCTCCGTCCAGAGCCTCCCAGACGTCATTTTGAAGAGGTTGCTGCTGAAACACGGGGACCCCGGTGGGAGCATTTCTCTTCAGCTCCCAGTACATTGCTCTGGAATGAGCGTCACGCTCATTTACTATTATGAAAGACACCTCAGTCATGTTGCTGCGATTCAGCCTATCACGCAGGCCTCCAATTCTACGGATGAACAGATGGAAGAGAAGATAGAGAGCTGGGTATAATCTCGCATCGCTGTTAATCTGGACAGTTGGAAAAGGTTTTTCTAGAATCACAGGACGTCAAAGCCTCGACTCAAGGAACAAGGAGGGCTTGTCTGTCTTCAAGTTTTAAGAGAAAAAAAATAAAAGGATGATAAAACTTTACTACTCTAATTGCAGCAGAATCATGTTTAGAGGCTTATAAGAGGAATTCTGAGCAACTGTCTCTCCACAAGAACACCTTTTGTGCATAGATCATGTTTGTTTTACATTTTTCTTAATTTTACTCTTCAAAATAAGATAAAAAAAATCAGCTCGGATTATATGGTCTAATAATACATAATTCTTCTTATATTGTTAATATTAGTATACTGTAATGTTGTATCCCAGGAATTTCAGTAAACATATGAGAGATTTAAGGTCTGTATAAAGATGGTGTGGATTCCTTTTCTGTTTTTCCTTTAACAACATGCTATCTAGTAGTCTATTTAAAATGACTTTTTTTAAACTAAAATACAAATTTGAGGACTATCGGGAAATAGTGTTTCAGAAAATAACAAGACTATAGAGAAAATTGTATTATTAAGAAGCCAATAAAATAATACCTACAACTGGTTAATGGGTTTACTCTTCAAAATAAAACTTAAAAATAGGAGTTTCAATTATTACAACTTTCTTACTTGGATGCCTGCCTGAGGCAGAACTGTCAGGCAGCCTTCAGCAGCGCCACCACAGCCACGTTTCCCAACAGGTCTTGCATGGGTGCATATCCCTTAATGTCCCACTGGGGGGCAGGTTTGCAGATCCTGGAGGCATCATTGTCCCCCTCCACAATCAGAGTGCTGTGTGAGGCCCACAGCAGGCCTGGCAATGCTGCGAACAGCCACAGCGTCAAGAGAGAGCCCATTGTCTCTCCCTGGCAGCCTGGACTGTATCTACCTGACAAGAAAGACATTGTGCAATAATTGAAAAAACAAAAACAACAAATGTTTTGCACCTAATGTGAAGAGGTGAAGAGAAAAAATCTTTTCCAAGGCTTTGTGGCACAAAGTCAGGGAAAAGGAGATAGCACATGCAGACTAGGCAGTCTGGGGTTCAATCAGTAGCGCTCAGTCTGATCCAAAAATAATTAAAAGAGCAAAACATCATTGTGTCTGTCTTTACATGCGAAGATAATGTGCAAAAAGAGCCGGGGTAAACAGCGGGCACACAGAGGTATTTTGGGTCACATGGAGAGCACGCAAGCATCAAAGCAAAGACAGAGACAGACTCAGAGTGTACTGTCTCTCTGTTTCAACGTGATCTGGATCACTTTTGTTAGATAATTAAAGCCTTTTTTCGGTCGCCATTTCTTTTCCTCTCCTAATTTAAATGTTTAGATGCATAACAAGAATTAAAGTGTACAAGACAGGAACAGATCTCTGTGGTAAAACTGCATTAGTTGGAATTCCACAAAATACACCCCCTACAATAGTTAATATGTTTGACCTTCAGAACAAAAGACTTAAAGCCTTAAAAACAAACACTTTAAGCCCAAAAAGATGATCTTACCGTTTCTCTGTCTCTGTTCTGCGACCCACACATGCAGACAGTAAACCCCTGTTGTTTTTAAAGCCTTTGAGGTTGACTAAGCACTTCCCCCAAATCAAACAGAGAGACAGAGACAGAAGGAGAGGGGGAGAGAGAGAGAGAGAGAGTGTGTGTGTGTGTGTGTGTGAGAGAGACTAAACAAAGGACTTTATTTGAATGCAAGTAAATTTGAGTAAAATCACACTCTTTATTAATTTAATGTACTACCACAAAATTCTGGTTACCTTGTTGACTGAACAAGCAGTTATTTATTAGGTGGTTATAACTATTGAGTGGACCGATATGAAACATGATATTCATGGTTCCTTGATTCCCTGCACATTTTTGGTAATTCGACTTCTAGGCTATAGCACTGACTCATCTATGCTGTAGCACTATGTGAAGATCATGTGGTTTTGAGAAAAAATGTCAAAATAATATTTGGATAATTTAGATTTAGTTACGATGAGGGAGATTTAGTGCAGACTTTCCTTGAGAATGAAATCTACCCTTGGTGCTGCATGTAAGACTATTATCCAAAGGTTTTTACTGAGCCCACTCTTACTCTGTAAAACCGAAAACATTACCACCCACCTCTGTTGTACTTTGTGTGTGGTGTTAAATATCAGATGTTAACTCCACATTACACTATAAAAAGCTGGTGAACACACTAAACATGCAGTTTTTCAGCTGCTCAATCATAGTTACCTCCCTATGCGAGCCAAGCTTTAGAGTGTGCAAAGGTGAATGTCTCCATGACAAACAAACACAGGGCACCATTTAAGAAAGAGTTCAAAGGTAAAAAATCAGTGATAATCAACATGAAATACTCAACTTGAAAAAATGTACTAAAAAGAGTTGTTTGATCAATAAATAGGGATGCGCACGAAGACCATGCTTTGTGTGAACTTTGCAAAGTTGATGGTTAATCTTCAAAAATGTAGAAAAAAAACAAGATCATCTGTTTACACTGACTTAAAGTTTTCTTGCCATTGAATGTTAACAAGCCAGTTGCAATGTAAATAAATATATTGGCTTTTATGTTACCGATTTGCTCAAAGTCCAACCTGGGCAGCTGTTTTGTTTTATGTGGGGAAAAGTAACACACATGACCTGAGATTAAGTTACAACAGTGGGATTTAATGAGACTTGGGTTTAAGTTTTATCACTAGTAAATTAATATGCTTTCATTTTTATTCTAGCATCCAATGTTAGCTGTTACTGTGAGCTGCCTGACATGGAGAACGTGTATAGTTGCAGTCAGAAGTTTCCATCCACTCATGAGCATGAATGTCATAGTCATTTGGGGCTTTTAACGACTTCTTTGAACTGTTATACGGATGATCTTACAGTTACAGCATTACTTTAAGGACTTTTAGAAAACAAGATTCTGGTGCACAAGTTTAAATTTATTGTATTTTCTCTGATCCACACAGGATCAAAATTATACATACAGGCTCAAATAGATACATGCAGTCATTTAAATCTTTTAATAAGTATTGCTCAAGGTTCTACAATGTCTTTCTACTTCTTGTTGGGGATCATAATTGAGCACAATTGGGAGTTTCTCTTTGCCGGTGTAAAAAGGTAATGTTTACTGTATTGGCCAGTACTCCCAATGTGAAGGTCTCAGGAACTCAGGTATTATAGTTATGTATTTTATAAATTAGGTTTTATTTTTATTTTAACTTTTTGCTTTTAATTTAATTGAGTTTTTATTAGTTTTTGTAGTCTTTTTTGTTATTATTGTATAAAGGGTATATATCAGAGGCAAGATTTAGGAAAATGAGTATCACAAAAAAAACCACAGACCTCCATCCAATACCTCAATAGTCGAGTTTTACCAAAGTAACGTACCAAAACTAAGTATTTTCCTGTTTTTTTAATTTATATTTTAGCTAGTTTTCCAAATTCACAAAATCGTGTTACTTTAATATTTTTTGCAAGTTTTTATTTCTGTTTCAGTTAATAAAATTGTTAAGTGTGTTTCCACATCTAGTTTAAGTGAACTATAATAACCTCGCAAATAACTATCAAAAGGACAAGTTGTTGGACTGCTTTGTTAAGGTCTGATAGTAGACCTAAACTGTCCCCCTCAAATGAGAGGAAACTGGTTAAGAACCACTAATGTTCGCATTTGCTATGAACTGGGAACTGCTGGAACACTGGGGTCACTGTCCACAGAGGAGATATTTTTACATTGCCATGGGAGTGGATGCCAACCAAGAAAGAAGCCTCTGCTTCAAAATCAACAACTTGAGCCTCACTCATGAATGAGAAATGGATGCTTTCTGCAGAAAGGTTTTATGGTAAGACAAGACAAAGGCTGAGCCTGTTGGCCTCAGTGACAAGAGGTATGTTTGGAGGAGTAAAGGAGAGACTTTCAACTTAAGAACATTGTACCAGTGGTGAAGCATGGTGATGGTAGCATCATCTCTGGGTTTGTTTTACTGCCAGTGGTACTGGTACTTTGCACAAAGTGGACCGAATAATGAGAAAGGACTGCCTCCAAATGGACCCAAATGTATCGGAGTCTCAACATCACAAATTAACAGCTAGACGGTTGAAACATGGACATAATTGGTTGTTCCAACATGACATGATCTCAAACACACAAAGCAGGCCAACATTAAGCTGCCAGAATAGCCTTCCCAAGACACTCAACAGTATCGACAATTTGTGGATTGTGCTTAAAAGTCATGTCCGTACCAATGGAAACAGCTACCAAAGGTGTCTGGTTGAGGTACAACTTGCTAAGGGACATTTAATAAAATATTAGTTGAAGTATGTATATATTCAAGCTTCTGTATAAATTTTGAGGTTGACTTAAACTATCCAGAAAATTTGAACACTTCAAAACAGAGCAAAGGGGAAATTCTCAGAGTGAAATTTACACTGTAGTGCAAAATTTGGTTATTCACCAGTGCAGGATTTACTCTTAGTTCCTTTTCCATACATTGTTTTTTGAACCTTTGAAAACAGCGAGGTCTCAGTTGTGTACATGTGACCAAAATAAGGTACAGAAATTCAGTTTTATTAATGCTTAAACTGGAGAGGTATGATTGAACAATATAGTTTGATACTAAACCCATGTTATGGTTAAAGACATAAATCATGTGCTTTACATCCCACCCAAAAAAACAAAAAACAAACCAAAACAAAAAGATTGAAAATAAATAAGAAAAAAAAAAAAAAAAATCACAATGTCGAGGGAACACTCTGTAATGAGATGTGTCTATATGAAACTTAAATAAAGTTAAATATTCCAAATGCTAATTTTATTATACATGTAAACAGAGCCAGGAAATATCAGCCAAGCTCAGACGTGAGACACTTAACTTTAAAAACACAAGCATCAAACTTGTCAGGGTTTGTGCAAATGACTCCTCTAAACAATTCTCAACTACAATCAGTAACAAGCTACATGGTACACATGCTCTGCACATGTTCAAGCTCACAGTGGGTCAGCATTTTCAGAGGTGGTGAGTCCATCCCTGTTTCCTGCTGTTCTGGCGTAGCAGTGTCCTTTGCTTTTGGTGCTCGTTGCTCTCAGTTGCTTTTATATCGAGAGTCGTTTAACAACTCATGACATATCAGATTTTAATGCACACTATACTCATAGCCCCACGTCTCAATGTGTATGCTTATCATTGTTAAGGGCTCATTTGATTTTAAACATCTAGCTCCAAAGCAGGAAATGCAGTTTTCTGGTGGAAAGTCTTGTTTCACTTGTAATAAGCTTCACTGTTTCCCCTATCATGATGGTAGTTGGATTTTGCCGAGCACCTATTCTGCATTTTAGTCAAGCTAAGGGAAGCTGAGATTTAAGCTGTTTCAAATAGATTCTCTTAATGCCACGCACCAACACCAAAGCTTATATTTTTATCAATACCTCTTTGGCATCAGGGACCTGAAAAAAAATCATCAGTATCTGATTCTAGATGGGATAACAGCAGGGTGGGAAGAAAACACTACAAGTAAAACTGTAGGCTAGCCTGAGCATCTCTTATCAGCTGATCACACGCATATAAGCATTAGCAAGTGCAACCAGTTGACATAACAAAAGCAAATTCACGTCAAGTCATTCAAGGAGGAGAAACAAAGCACAATGTCCCTCACAGCAATTCAGCAAATCCTGTCTTTAGTCTTTAGCAATTCAAACAAACTGCTAAGAAGACAAAACACCTATCAGTTCTTCCTCATCATTATCTCCAACTTCAGGGGGACTGTCGCACGTGGCCATGAGCCCCAGGCCTAGTTCTGCCAGCTCCTCGCAGCTCATATCAGTCGTCACCATGATCTTAGTCTCCAAACGGTTACACAGAGTCCTATAGGAGGGTAACGGGTAACCAATCTCTCTCAGGTACTCGTACCCCTTGGTGCCAACCGCACAGCGGATATTCCGGGCTTTCAGGATTGTCTCTGGAGACCAGACAGCACGTCGGGAGCGTTTGGTGAGTGACAGGGCTCGGATCTGGTCCTCATACAGAAAATTCTGGAGACCCTTTTCAAGCCGGTCAAGTCGATAAAGACGCTTCTTCATCTCTTCAGCCTGACAGAAACAGGAGTGTATGGTTAGTTTGGGCCATTTTATTGCACATAACACTCATTATTTTGTAACAACTTTCATAATAATCTGCATAATGCAATAAAACCTTACAATGCTCTCCAAAAAAAAAAAAAGAAGCCCAACAGACCAGGCTTTGATTTGCAGGGGAAGTCATCAGCTGTCCTACCTCTTTCTGTAGCCTTGCAGTGTGTTGCATCTCCTGCTCCAGCTGTTTCCTAAGCAGTTGGCAATGTGTGCAGGGCTGCTGATCTTCAGATGTTCTGTCCGCATCTTCTTCCTCTAAGCCAGGCAAAGGGGTGCGTCTGGCATAGCCATGATCCCCGAAATTCAGCTCCTTCTCCACTACACCAAAACACAAGGGAAAAAAGTGCAATTACATTTCTGAGAACTAGAGTAGAAAAACATCCAAACATGAAGATATCTTCTTAAATATTTCTGCAGACATGGAGCAATAACTGTACATAGAA